AAAAAAAAGTTCGTTTCTGATTGGCCGGTTCCTGACCAATGAAATCTCGGCCAAAAAAATGGGCTTCGGATTCAGATTCAGGTAGGGGGGGTGGCTTAGCATTAGCATTGCATTAATTAATACTATTTTTAATGCCTTTGTATTAAAATTGAAAAATTAACTTAATACTTTTGCATTAGTGTTAAAAAAATAATTTAATGCTTTGGTATTAGTGTTAATTTTGTATTAAAAAATGCTAATACCTATCTTGATTGTGCAATTCGTTTATAGAACTGTCATTGTAGTTCTAACGCCAGCTTCTCTATAGTTGGATTTGCTTTGTAACATTTCTATACAGAAACAATGTCATGTATGCACCAGGATGACATATATGTACATTTATAGTTCTTCAGAAAACATAAATAATTTTATCAGATATCGATATTGTAAAAGAAAAACCCAATCTCAATGACAGTTCTATAAACGAATTGCACAATCAAGATAGGTATTAGCATTTTTTAATACAAAATTAACACTAATACCAGAGCATTAAATTATTTTTTAACACTAATGCAAAAGTAAAGCATTATATTATTTCTTTAACACTAATGCAAAAGTATTAAATGAATTATTTATTTTAATACAAAAGTATTAGCATTTTCTTAACACTAATGCTAAGCCGCCACCCCTAGATTCAGGGCCCTCGATAACCTATAGCAAAGTTCCATCAAAAAGGTCAAAAGCCTTTAGAATAAGAAATTTCGTTTCTGATTGGTCGGTTTTCAACTAATGACACCTCGGCAACCGAAATTGGCAATGGATTCAGATTCAGGGCCCTCGATAACCTATGGCAAAGTTCACTCAAAACGACCAAAAGTCTTAAAATAAAAAAGTTCGTTTTTGATTGGTCAGTTCCTGACCAATGAAACCCCGGCCACCGAAATGGGCAATGGATTCGGATTCAGGGCCCTCGATAACCTATGGCAAAGTTCACTCAAAACGACCAAAAGTCTTAAAATAAGCTAACCTCTCTGGTATGTTCTTTTGACCCTGACACAAACGCACACGCATACAACCTTATTTTATTTCATATGACCCTCCCTACAGTCGAGGGAAAAAATCATTTTAAAAATATCTATTGTATTCAATTGTGTTATCTGTGTTATGATAACAATAATGTTCGAATCATAGAATGTTTACATAATCGAATACAAACAATATTACTAATTCATAGTTTGTAAATGACTTATTTAGAAAAAAATAATAATATTCACACATGATTAAATTGATTTCATTTCTGTTAAAAAAAAGTGATTTCTTTCAAAGCGATTTAGAGAGTGATAAATCGCTCTTGCTAAGAGATAAAAATTGTAATAATATTGAGTTTCTAGGTATTGACGATCTTGTTTTGACTGCTCAAATACTTGCATAAATGTAAGATGGTGTTCAGAAGATAGAAAATATCAGCGATTATGGATACGTCTTAGGATTATATCTGTGTTGAATGATACTTAAGTTTAGCCCTACATATTCTGGAACGTCAGGTATTTCTTGTTGATGTTCCAATGTGAACATATTAATTCACAAATAATGAAACCTAATAAAATCCAATATATGCATTAGAAAAGAAGTGCAGTTTACTTGAATTTCTATTTAAGTATGAGAATTTTATATTATACAAATTATTTCTATTGAGTATATGAACATTGGACTTGTACAATTAAATATGCGAATGGATGAAGTTTCTAAGTTCGAATTTATTGAATAAGCTTCACATATTTCGAAAAAAACATACTACGAATATGTTAAGATTAGGATGAATTTATATAATTATCATAAAAAAACTCAAAGCGAGATTAAATATAGAGGATAAGCGAAAACGATTAAAGATTCAGCAAATTCATGCTTGCCGAGTTACAAAAAATAAGAACTAATTATATGACTAAGCTATTTTTTGTTCATTCAACCATTTTGAGAATTGATTAGGTGTTAAAATTTCGATGGTGCAGCTTTCTCGTTGTCAGTCGTAGAAATTGAGACGACGCTAAGATCTTCTTCGAATAAACATTTGCTCAGTTCATTGAACACATGATAATACCGAATCATATAATATTGAACAATGAACAGGAATAACAACGTAATAAAAATGGCAAGAACAATATTAATAACCCAACGATTTAGCATAATTGCTGGACTGAAGAACAGTCTATCCAAAATTTGAACGGCATGTTTTGCCAAACTTTCATCATTTCTATTTTCACTATTATATGAGTCACCATAGTTGCTTATTTGAGCTTGAGAACGAGGTGGAAAAAGGAAAGCCATGATTGAGAAACACTTTTTATCGAATATATGTTTTAAATGTGCGTTAAAGAAATGATTCTTGTAATGTATTGTTCTTCTAGTATTGTATAGAATAAAGGCCAGACTGCTACTAATACTTTTTTTTATTACACAGAGAAAAAAAATACAGGGTGTTGTTTTGTTTCTTATCAAATTATATAAACATGTAAAGCATAAGTGAATTAGATAAAGAGAAGCTGGTCGGTGGAAAATGAGTTCTACGTAAAAACTATATAAAAACTGTATCATAATTCTACATAGTAAAAGAAAAGGTGTTCATAATTTTTTGTCTAGTCGCATAGAAGAATTGTTTTTTCAACACAATCAATTATTTGTCATAAACATCAAACTGATTGCTCGTTGCTAAACTTGAGTAATTAATCCCAGCTCTGTTATTCTTCGGTACGTATTCCTTTTTGCTAAAAACAATAATCATATTGAAATAGAGTTTGAGAGACAATCTATTACTGAGTGATAAGAGTGAATGCTCAGAAATGTCATTGTATAAAATACACAATATTTGAATATTTAGGAATAGCATTATTGCATCAATTTGTATGGGTAAATTGTACTGTATGTAAAAAAGAAAAAAAAAGCTTGAAAGAACAAAGAAATTCAAAAATTTAATTTATTGTAATTCTCTATGATTACATCCGAACAATTCACATTATTGTTTCACATTAAACGAATTGATATTGCTGAAGATGAATAAGCCAAACATAAACTCTTCGTACTGACCTCATTGATTTTACTGCATCATATTTTCATTACTTTCAGTTGATTTTGACTGTTTTCAAGGAAAAAAAAGATTATCGATAAATATAATTTTGTTCACCAGATAATGATCAATGAGACTTGTTTTGCATGTGTCAATTAAAAGAAGCGCTTCTTTCACGAGAAGGGTTTTAAATATATTTATATCAATTAATATACGATTTTGAATATTATTCATTAAACATGAAAAAACATCTCTTATTATATGAAAATATGTGTTTAAAAAAATTTTCAAAATCATTTCATTTCGCAAAGTATCATAATCTCATTCAAATAGATTACACGTAGTTTCATGAACAGTCGTATCTCCTCACTTTTCGCTATCATTTTATCTGTTCAAGAGACTAACGTATATAGTCTCGATAATTATCGACTGATGGAAGTGTAAAAAGGTGGCGTATTACTGACAGCAAAGTCCTGAATATTGTGTGAAGTACATGATAACCGCTTTTTCATTGTAGTTATGTGATAAGTATCCAGGCACACCAATAGCCTTAAAACAAATTTTAATATAAACAAATTTTCATCATGACCCTACAATATACGTGAACAATCACTCATTAGACGATGCACGAACCTGTTTCAAGGATAATTATATTATTTAATTCTTGACTGATTAATCGGCTCTCAAAAAAAAATAGTGCATATTCTCTTCAATTGTGGAAGAAAGAGATATACTCACTCATAAATTGGCAGAGTTGATAGCGAAAAAAAAAGAACCACACTTACATAAATAAGATTGTATTTCGAACATTCATTTAATTATAACATTTCACTGACATCTTACGTATCCAAAGGAACAAACCATACTATTCTATTAACAAGCAAGTCATTATTTTTTCATGGGACAGATAATTTGATTGTTTTTACAGGTTTATAGCACGTTTGTTTATTGTGTTTGGTCGATCAGTTGTGGATTTGATTTGTAAGTATTCATGAGTCTAGTTTCTAACTAGCACTATGAATCGCAGTATTGCGACTACGAGTAACTCGGATGAGTAATAATACGATTCGCAGTATGGCGACTACGAGTAGCTCGAATGAGCGACAAATACGATTTGGAAATTAGCAGAGCATATAATTTAACTATGTAGCTAGCAGAAAGTTTCATAGAGTAGAGAATTGAAACAGTTGGTGTTGCGTGTCTAAGTAGTCAAATGAAAAAAAACATCCTTTTAGATTTATATTAGTCGAGCGACACTTTGTCGCAGATAAAAATTTTATGCATCAAGAGGCCTATTATAGAAAAAAAATCAAATAATCAAAAGCATAAAAACATAAAGATAATACACGTCACATAAAAAGAACTCTGCCGAGTGAAATTGACATCATATTCATGCAACATTCATATTGAATATAACAGGATCAATGAAAGACAGAATGAATAGAACTGTATAAAAAAAAGATACTTTTTATGATAAAAAGAATAGCATAAACTAATAAATAGAAATAGAAATGATTAATTGTGAAAATAAGGATAAATATTTGAAGATTCACGAAACAAGTTATTTATTGAATGTCTAGAAAAAGAAATAAATTGAAAAGTTTGAAATGTAGACGTTAAAGAAAAAAAATTCGTTTTATCGGAAAAAAGAGAGATTCATTTTTTACTTCAAAATTAAAAAATTCAATAAATAGAATCACATCGAATGCACTAAACGATGAAAAGAGTTTTATAAAGAGAGAGAGATACTTTGTGAGAGAAATATTTAAGTTTTTTCACTTCGAAAGAGAAGATAGGGTTTGAAAATTTTTAAAGAAATCGGAAGAGAGAATGTAACTGAGTTAATAGAACAAAACGCAGTTTGGTTTCTAGAAAAAAAAAGATTCAAGTAAATTTTCATTCAAAGTCAAGCAACTGAATAAATGTAACAACATCAAAAAATATTAAAAAATGTGATACAATGAATTATACAACGAGCAACTCGTATATAGTGAGGAGAATATTAATTAAATCTTTGCAACATTTCAAAGAGAGAACTTTGACTGATTTTAAAACAGAATAGAAAGTAAAAGATAGAAGATGAAGACTATGTTTCGTAAATAGAAAAATGAATCAATTTTACATTGGAAATTAATAAATCCATCAGATACCTTAGAATCAAATTGTTCGGCAAAGTTATTGTCTTATAGGCTCTTTTAATGTTTCCTTTTAATGTATGATGGCAAAATGTCATAGATCTTTGAACAGAGTAGTTTATATGATTAAATGATGTTTACTTTACTCGATCATGAAGTACCAACGTGTTCTATACACAGAAAAATTAACTCCAGAATTAAGATCAAAATTGCGTATCGTTTCTTACGACAGGCGGCGCTGATTGAAGGGAAATGTGTACTTTGTTAGTTTTGCATCAGCTGCTAATATAAAACATGCTGATCGAACTTCCAAACGACTCCGAAATATTACGTTAAAACCATTTCAACCACATCATTCTTCTTCGGATAAACATAAAGATCGATTTAATATATATAATTATCAAGAAATTGCTGCAACATCACCCATATCATTTCAATCACCACCTACTATGTTTACTTTTCTTCCCGATAGCAATCCTTCATTTACTACATCTCAATCGGATTCTTTACGGAGCACTAATGAAACACTGGAAGAACGTGCAATGCGTGTCCTTGATCCACGTATAGTAACTAGTCAAAGTGTTGCACCTACACCTACTCTTCAAGAATCAAACTTCGTAAGTTCTAGTCTTGATGTAAATCTCATTGAGAGTAATCTATTTACAAATATAAAGGACAAGCAACGATTTATTGCCAATGTTAAATAGCGCTTGAATGCTATGAAAAAGGCACAATGATCCGCTGATGATCTTTGTCAACTTTACGGTAAGGATTTACCATTTTAATCGAAGTAAATAATGAATGATTATTATTAAAAATAGGAAGCGGAAGCGACTGTAGTGCAGCATTGAACCATTTGTTTCAGGTGCATTCAACGGCATTTTACTTAAAAGCTGCTACATCTGTTCAAATCAAGGATCTCTTGTCAGCTGGTCTACGATTATCATGGCCAGATCTCGCTAATAATATTAATGACTTCAGGACAGATGTTGGTCATGAGCAATTATTTATGACACAATTAGCATCTGCTAAGCATATTTTATCGAAAATCGACAGTGCAACATCAATTGCAATATCATCGAAATTAGCATATCAACTCACAAAACTATCGCATTGAAATTTTTTTTTGTTTTTTCTCTCGTTTAATGCATGCGTACATTGTTAAGTAGTTTCCTTTACAAATTATTTATAAACTATCATATACACGCATTAACATCGAAACCTCCTCATTAACTAACTAATAGAAAGTCTGTTATATATTGTTTTATAGATCAGTTGGAAAGAAAATAAAAAGAAACAGAGAAGAACAGACAGACATAGAGAGAGAGTCTGACATAGAGGAAGAAACAGAGACTGATAGACATAGGGAGAGAGACGAAGACAGATATAGGAGGAAAGAGAGAAACAAACAGATAGAGAGGTGAGAAGGAAAACAGAACAATAATATGAGAAGAACTTGATGTTTGGATGGGAGAGAGAAAAGCAAGTAGCGAGACTAAATGGAGTTATAGATTGAATGAAAAAAGCTTATTATATATGGAGCGTAAATAATATATAATGGGGAAATAATATAATGGCATAAGAACATCAGAAAGATATAAGCGATGAAAACGGTTAATTGAGTTGAAGTAGCATTATCAGTACGATCATCAATCATTTCGCTCGTATATTTTTTTTTGTCTGCTGTAAAATACAACATGTATATGAAGAAAAGTTTCGTTGTATAATTGTTGTAATGTCAATTCAATACTTGAATAAATGACAATATTTAAACTAAGAATGATAATAAAAAAAAAGAAAATAAACAGCTCTAATTACTGTTCTAGATTTACTTTTAATTATAACCATGAGCGATTCAAAAATAGTGCTCGAAGTCAATAAACATGGAGAAGTAAGTCAAATTTTTTTAAAAAAAAATCATACCTTTTTATTATTGCTTTAGCTTGTTTTCGCATTCTCGCGTCGTGCATTAAGTTTGCCACGAATAGGCGAGTGTGAGGAATTAAGACAATTAGTTGTCGTGCAGGATAATAATTATTCTCGGTGGTATACACGAAAGTACGATAAAATTAGATTTGAAACCACCAAACCTGAACTCATCCAAAGTTTTCAACGGTGCATGGCTTATACACCAACATATGAAGATATTATTTTAACCTGTGATAATATAAAAAATTGATCTGTGAACCTGTTACTCATTTTTAATTTTTTTTGCTTTGTTTCTATGTAGATCTTTGTTTATATAAACTATCTTGTATTTCTGTGCTTCTTTAAAATTAATTATCATTTACTTTTAAAAAACAAGTAACGCTCGTCGCTACGACTCGCTCAACGCTCGACTGAAGGGTTAAAAGTACTTATACGCTAGTCCACTTTATCGCAACAGTTACTAATAGTATCATATGTAATCACCTATATCGGTTTCCATACTTTTATAATGATCTATAAACATATAATTTATCTTAGAGCTTTATCGAGTTTGACAACGAAAAATGTCATTGTTGCTATGAATCCATAAAACAATATATTTCAATGATTGACGTTGTGAATTTTTAGTTTATATATGGTTGTAATAAAAGTTAGATTTGGCTGCTTTCTGATTAATAGGATGTGGAATTATTAATCTTTCGACATTATATGATAGAAAATTTTAGGTGATGTGATTCAAACGCGGACTAACTTGTGAAGTCCTTCGGTAATATAACTTTGATTAGTATACTGGCATATACATTTGAATAATATTGCTGCCGATTGTGGATCTGCGTTCATATGAATGAAAGATTATAATAAATCTAAATCATGATTTAATATTTAAAAAATTTTGATTGAAATCTGTCTTAATCACAGCTTTTAATAAAAACTATATTGTCAGACCGTGACATCATTCGATCACTATGGTGTCATAGAATTATTTGATGAATATTGGAAGGTCAAGCAACACTTCGGATAATGTTTTTCTTGATGATTTTGCATTTATAACATGACAAGAGCACATTTAACTTTTAATCAAGAGAAACGAAAAAATGAAAATCAAAACAAAGAGAAATCTATATCTAACGAATACTACTCTACAGCATAAAGTACAAGAAAACTACAACACTACTATGCTCAGGAGAAAAACTACTGTAGAAACAGTAATGATTAAATGTAAAGAACATGGAACGAAGACTTCTAAAAACAAAATAATGTACAAAAAAAACAGAAGACATTAACATGAGTTTTTACACAATACACATTAATTATTGAAACCATTGAGAACATCGAGTTTGTGTATCTAAATAAAGTTTATCAAGTCTCTCCATTCCAGCAAGTTGAGATTTGCTTGGTTTTATCGTAAGCACTTTGTAATCGAAATGTTGTAAGATAACTAAATCTACCAAACGTTTTACACGTGATAAAGGTACATACACTGCAGCAATATCATCAGTATCATTTGGTAGTTTCAAATCAATCACGACTTTATTTAA